AAACAGTCAAAGAGTCGAGAAGCTTAACGTGCGCGGTAACAACATCATTTATTTATTTATTTATTTATTTTTTTTCCGGGAACAACATCAATAGATTTCATCGTCGTCCAAGTTGCGGTCTAACTATTGTCCAGATTTCTACATTGTCAAACACCCAAGACCGTTCATACCGTCTCACCACACGCTTGTCGTCCTACTATTGTCCAGACAATCAGTAGGACTGGACAAACGTCAGACACAAGAGCCAAGTCTGTAGCGTGTATCTTTCCCTTTCTCCTGCGTTGTGTGGTCGCGGAAGGCTTGTTTGACGTGCCTCTTATGCTTTTGGTCGCTGATACCTCAGCGGTATTCAACAGCGGCTGGGACAGCTTCAGTGCCTCAGATTAGGTTTAAACTTTAAAGTACCTATATCCTTCAAATCCTTGTGGTTTGTGGAAAACAGCCATCTCTGAGCAAATTTTGTCATATCAGTTGTTCGTCATCTTTCAGGAACAAAATGCTAGGTTGACCTAGTTTTGACTGAGGTTTTCACAGTTTTGAAAAGCGAGACTCGTCACAGACTGTTTCGCGAAACCAAGCCTCTAGCGAGGCATGTGCACGAATGGGAGAATCGACTTGAAAAGTCGACCGGGTTTTGAACATTGTTCCGTTTGTTGCGCTTCGAGAATCTGCGAAGTCCTTGTAGGTCTCGACGCATGGGGGTGGGGAAATGCTGTCAATTATTTGATTGATTGATTGATTGATAGACGGATTGATTCAGCTTCACTCTGTGTGTGTATGTGTGTGTGTGTGTGTGTGTGTGTGTGTGTGTGTGTGTGTGTGTGTGTGTGTGTGTGTGTGTTAGACTCCCACTTAAGGCCCAAGAGGGTTGCTAATGTTTGTAGGAGTACCCCTATAAACTGATGCATTATGGGTTTCTGCCCCTATCCCCAAATCGGGGGTCTGCAGTAGGCACCGAAACCCCTCCACAAGGTCTCACCCACCAAGGCCCTGATCAGCTGCCTGCTGCAAAAGCCCAATAAGTCTGTCATATATCTTGTCCTCCCTTTGTGGTTGGCATATTGCCAGATGCCAATCAAGCACTATGTATGTTTGTAGTTGTTTTTTTTTCCTGGAAAATGCAAGCTTCTTCCTTCTCCTCATACGGGGGGAGGGGCGGCTGCATGTTAACTACTCTGTATTCTTCTCTCAATTTTTTTTCACCATCTCGCACTACCTGGGTTAAGGGTCTCCTCTCCTACCTCAGACAAAGAACAGCCTTAGGTGTAGTAATCAAGACTAGGCTATCCTAAAGTTATGGGTCTACGGACTCTACGCCTACCTAACTCTGCTCTGTGTGGGGAGCAGTACCCAAGCTTCTAACACCTGGCGCGGGCTGGAAAGCCCCAAGCTTCCACAACCAGCCAACTATACTTTTGTGCGAGAACTTAACGCCGTTTGGCAATGAAATCGGCAGAGAACGACGAGAGGATGTGTGCACCGGCACATCTTGTACGGGAAGGCGAGCGCTGCTGATGATCAAGTGGTTGTCTCGCTCGTTTGGGTGCTGTTGCATTAGTTTTCTCACAGGCTGCAGTGGTGAACAGTGCACGAAACACTCAATTCCTTGTATATTCAATAGAGTGAAACTTCAGTGACCTGTCAAGCAGTGCAGGGAACACTCAACTCAGTGAACTATCCCACCATAATGATGATCGAATGTCCATGAAAGAGTAGGAATTCAGGATTCCCTGTGTTCTCTGATTGTAGAATCTTTAATATGTCGGCAATGGGCACGATCCATGGGGACTATTCCACATTCTGCCATGGGTTACTTGGGTACAAAATTTCCTTTCAGAAAAATCCCTGTTCTCGCTGTGTACTTAGCAGTTTCCTTATGGGTTGCATGCAACAGCAATCGAGGAGTTCGTACTTCATACGTCACGGGACTTTTTTTTTCTTTTTTTTATATCAAGGAAATTTCTGTCATCTGCTTCCATCTGGATTCGAACTCACGTCTGCATTTTTAACAGTTTATGGGTGTACCCACTGAGCCAAGCCCATTGGTACCATCTCCTCCTCGAGCGAGAGAGACTTTGTCTATTATCCCGATGTGCAAAAAAACATGCCACAGCAGTTGTTGTCCTTTTCGATGAGATCAGGAGCAAGATGAGACGAATTGCGTGGATGACTTGTGTGCTGCTGATGTGTCTCGTGCGTAAGGTACTCTGAATGCATCTCCTTGCTATGGATGTTGCAGTGACGGTTGGGTTGCTGTTGTCTCCTTGGTTGTTTGTTTGTTTGGTTGGTTGGTTGGTTGGTTGGTTGGTTGGTTGGTTGGTTGGTTGTTGTTCCATCGTTCTCCCCCCTAACAGGATGCAGAGGAAGCATTACAGGGGGCTTGCGAATCCCCAGTGCATTCATGGCATTGAAGTCATACGATTGCCAAATCTTACGGGTGTCAGCGACGAGGATCTGCAGCGTTGGAGCGGCCTGACAGGAAGAGCTCTGTTCTTCTCTTTAGCGCCAAATGCTGAGGAGTACTCGAAATGGCGAGTCACCGGAAACACAGATAGCACAGGGGGGGTAGGAGGAGGAGGAGGAGGAGGAGGAGGAGGAGGAGGAGGAGCAGTGATCGGCAGTGATGGGCGAAAGCACGTAGTGCCGAAGAGTAAGAGGAATATGCCAGGTGTGCTGCCAAGTGATCAGCCTCTGCAGCGTTATCTTCAGAAACAGCATCTGCTGCACATGGCCCAGCCACAGTGTCAGGCGCAGGCTACGTTGCAGCAGCTGCAGTGCCTGCAAACTCAGCAGCAACAGCAGCAGGAGCCACAGCGTGGACCGTCGCCAAGTGTCGGAGAGGCGTTGATGCAAAGCCACGCTCGTGTTGTCAATCAGCGTAGTTCGCAGTCGACGACCAACCACCAGCTTCAGGCACAACAGACCCAGTCACAGCAGCACCAGGCGGCACAGCAGCAGCAGCAGCAAGTGTTGCCTCAACAGCGCCACCATCGTCATCATCACTTGCATGCTCACAAACACAAGCATAGACAGAATCAGAAGTCTGTTCATGTGCAGCCGCCGACAAAGCAGCAGGGCATGGGTATGTGCACGGCTGCAGCTGGAAGTACAATCAGTGTCAGCGTTGCAAATCTGAACAGACAGTCCGCATTGAATGGCACACAAGTGGTGCCTTGCACTTCCGGAGGGGGTTCTGCGCTAGGAGGAGCCGCGGGTGCGGGAGGGGGTACCTATGAGCTGCACACACCAGACCGGACGATGCACAGTGCAACCCATCTCAACCCAGGAGGAGTCATGGGAACCCTCACATCAGCAGGAAAAGGTCAGTGTGGCAGTGGGATGTTAATGGCAGACAATCAGTGTGCCAGCCAAGGCCATTGCCAAACTCAGGGTTTGATGAATGGTTTCACGGCAGCGGCGGCATGCAATATTGCAAAGAACCGCCAGAACATGAATCCAAATCTGAATCTGTTCCAGCAGGAACAGAGTCGAACGGAATTCCGGCCGCGACACCAGCAGCAGCAGCCATCGCCCATTCACACTCAGCAGAGTCAGTTCTTGCCCCATCTTGCATTCTGCGATTCGCCCCCATCTTCACCCTCATCACCGATGCATCAATCGACCATCCATCTCCAGAATCTGCAAGAGCAGGAATACAGGCAACAACCCCATCTCCATCAGCATCCGTTGTCCCTGGCAAGGCACCAGTCTTCACACCAGCAGCAGCTTCCTCTGCAGCAGCAAGCGTACGGAAACTCCTCGGCGTCTTTCCCGTCACCAGTGCTGGGTCCTTCGCTGTCATCTCCTCTCTCACCGTCGTCTTCGCCTTCGCATTCAACACCCAATCATGGGCTGGGAATGGGTGTCGGTGGTAGCTTGTGTGATGGTGGGGAGCTTCTTGTGGCGATGGGCAAACGGATGCTTCCGCTAGGAGGCAAACCTTCACGGTCAAAGGCGATTGATCTGGGTGGAGGGGGGGGGGGGGCTTGTTGAAAAACAGTGACAGGGGCATGTACAGCGATGCAGGGTGCGACTTGGTCTTTGCCACGGGAATGAGCTTATCGAACACTGGTACAGCGAAGAAGCGGAAGAAAACCGGTATGTCGGGGACCACTGGCATGAGTCTTTCCATCGGAACAGGATCGACCGGGGTGGTCGGCACGACAAGGTCGCTCCCATCGCCCGGCAGCACAGACCAATGCCTGGAGCTATCGACGGGCGGAGGCCCACAGTGCATAGTGACCGGCGTGGCCCCGTTGATTGCCAACACCACGGGAGGTACTCAACAACCGAGGCCCATGCTGAGCTGGCAGAAGGATTTCACGGGGGTGATGCTGCAGTCGTCAGGACCCACGACCGCGGCGAAGACCATTTACGAGGACGACGAGGGGTACCTGGTCCTTGTCAGCCTTCCCTTCACGGACATGCAGCGTGTTCGGGTATCGTGGCGGAACGTCGAAAACCACGGCATCCTTAAGCTTCACTGTGTAAGCACCGCCCGGAGGCGTGTCATCACAAAGCACAACCGTACCTTCAAGCTGACGGATCCCAACCCGGAACACTGCCCCCCCGGTGAGTTTGTCAGGGAGATTGCACTGCCCACACGAGTCCCCGAGAACGCCGAGCTTCATGCTTTCTACTCTGAGGCATGCGCCGGGCTAGAGATTCTTATTCCCAAGCAAGCGCTGGTGGAGGAGGAGCGGGAAGTCCGCGTCTTCCTTCCGCGGCAGATGGTAACCGGTGAAAGTCTACTGCCGCAGCCATCACGCTGAGCATTACACCAACCCAGCGTGCGTGCGGGAGAGAAGCAGCCATTGGAGTTCGGTGCGAAATTCACCAAATTCACCTTAAAGCTGTAAAGGGCAGTGGAATCCCTTTGTTGGCGTGAGTAGATGTGTGCAGTTCCAGCTTTCTATCGAGCGTACCCATGCGGTCTCCCTCTGCCCTGATCAAGCAACATGGTGTGTCTCTGAAGGTGCAAACCTGTGCCATCATTCTCAAGTGGATAATCCTGTGGGTATGAATAACAATCCTGTGGATAATACTGTGGATAATCCTGGATAATTCTGTAGATATGGATAATGCTGCAGATATGATAATCCCGTGGATATGGATCATCCTGTGGCTGTGGATAATCCTGTGGATAGTCCTGTGGATATGGATAATCCTGGATAATTCTGTAGATATGGATAATGCTGCAGATATGATAATCCTGTGGATAATCCTGTGGCTGTGGATAATCCTGTGGATAATCCTGTGGCTGTGGATAATCCTGTGGATAATCCTGGATAATACTGTGGATATGGATAATCCTGTATAGTCCTGTGGATATGGATAATCCTGTATAATTCCGTGGATATGGATAGTCCTATGGATATGGATAATCCCTGTGGATAGGGATAGTCCTGTGGACATGCCTAATCCTATCCTTATGCTGCAGTTCCTTTGTTGCCACTGCAAATTCTATCCTAAGCCTTTTGCGTCCGTCCTCATCCTGTGTGCTGTGTGCGTGGAGAAAACGCAGTCGCAGTTTCTGCATGGCAGTCTGACGCAGGGGCCACTTGTGGGTATGATGGCAGACAGGCCAATACGGCAGGTAGCATGTGGACCGTTTGACAACGGTCGGCGTTGATGTAGACACCAGTCATAGGACCGTCTTCCCCAGTATTTGGGGCAATTTTCAGTCTACATACAGCGATAATAATGGTAATACTATGTTTTCTCTTTTTTTTTTTTAGGGGGGGGGGGGAGATGCTAGGAATTGGGACAGTGCTCAGTTCAGAGGAATGAGGACACAACAACGTAGTACGTTGGGGGTCGAATTTCCACCGACGGAGCAAAAGTGCACACAGCTTTATCGTCACAGGCGTAGGAGAGACGGCGAGGAGGAAGGATGCATCGGACAGGAGGGAGAGAAAGGTTTGGAGGGGTGAAGGGTACCGTCGTAACCCATATACAACGTACGGTCATTATGGCTGTATTTGGGGCAACTTTGAGTCTAGATGCAGCAATAATGACCGTATACGTTGTATCCAGGTGAAGACGGTAGTGGTCACGGCGGAGGATGCAATGATGTAGAAAAACATTGTGTCTTGTGCATCCACCGACTGTGACTAAGCGCCCACGCATTGATCCTCCCACTGGAGGAGCAGCAGACTCGGCGAGGAAGGACGGACCGATTAGCGGTCCGGAAAGAACTGCGACGTAGAAAAAAGGGGGACGAAGAGTCTATTTTTGTGCTTGCAGGGTGTCACAGGAAAGTTTTTTTTTTTGTTTTGTTTTTCGCCAATCACGGTCACAGGAAAGTTGTGTACAGTTAGGAGAGGACAAGAAGAGGG